ACAAAAAGCCATAAGTTCATAAAAACGTATGTGAGGTAGCGTATGCCACAGCCTTGCCTGGTAGTGTCAAGAGGCACAGTCGGACGGTGGACTTCAAATGAAAACTCAATTTTGTTCTGGCCATCGGTGGTCGACTATTGTTTCGCGATCATCTGCGGAAATTGCCGATGGCGGAGAATCTGGCTTCGCGGCGGCGTTTGTGTTGACAGTGCGAGGTTATTGACATTCTCGATTTTGACTCACGACACTTCTGACCGCAGAGTTCTCTCTCTCTGCTGGTTGTAGTGAGCGGACGAGTTTCGTTGCTCGTGTGCCCGTTCGAGGACGATGAGGACGATGGAACCAGAGTTTTAGTAGCTGTTGTCGTTGAGGCGTCTTCGTCCAGAGAACACCTCGGCCGTTCCCCGTTTCGATGACTGGCTACTGACGTCGTCGTCGTCCGCTCGGCAGAGGTGCCAAGCACGTGAGGGCAGTCTCGAGAACGAGACTCGAAGAGAAGACGTAAAACGAAACGAGAGGAGTAATGAATGGACGACAGCCGAAGCCAGTCTCACCCCGTCTCCTGCTCGTCGATGCCGCTGCCGAGTAGATTCGAAGACGAATGCGATGTTGGTGGTGTCAGCCGTGGTCATCAGAGCAAACCAGGTTTTTTAATCGATGCCCGTTGCCTCTGCCTCTGCCTCCGTCTCCGCCTCCGCCTCCGCCATCGCCTTCGCCTTCGCTACGGCCATCTTGTCTCGTCAGCACCGGCAGTAAACACCCGCTGACCGTCCGTTGCAGCCTCGCCGACGTTCCCCTCGTCCACGGTCGAAGGAGCACCGACTAGCGAAAGTAGTTCTTCGCTTTGTTCGTTTCATCGACAGCGCCGACCTCCATTTTCCTCCTATTAAGAGGTAACCGTTACTGACTTGTTACCGCTCTTCAACAACAATAATGAAAGCGTCAAACCGGTAGATCAAATATAAACCTATGCTAAGCTTAGTCGAGATCACGTGAGACAGGTTTCCGGACATACGTCACATTTAATTATAGTTTCGCGCACCACGTTATTTGTAATGTGTCGACCTTTGCTTTGGCGGTATTTTCTCTCGCACCACTTCAAAGAAAACCCGTACATTAGAAACAACCGAACAACTTAAGCATCGATTGGCTTCGCAAAACAGCTCATTAACAAAATACTGCTTTGTGGCACAACAGTTGCGCACTTCATCAGAGCAAAGACATTCGACACTTTCTTTCTCTTTTTTAGCGTGAAGTAATCATCAACTGAGAGTACACAGCGTGGTCTTTCTTCTACTCCTGTGGCGAGGTGGCATACTGGCATACTGGCATGGCCTGAGAGGTCGGCTACTAACTCCGGAGGTGCCCCGGGTTCGATTCCTGCCGAGGCTGAGAGGTCCCGAGTTAGAGCCCCGCTGGTCTCTCGCCTGTCTATCTTCCAAGGTTGATAAATTAGTATCACTTTATGGGAAGGAAAGACCACATTACACAGTATGCTGCAGATGGCATGGAAATGTAAATGAGCGCCCCACAGTTTACTTCGCGAAACGAAATGGCCGTCTTGAAAGTGTAAAGAAAACCGACATTCCAACAACTGCCAACTGTCCCTCTTTCCTTTTACCTTGATGTTGGAGGTATGGTTAAAATAGGTTCCCCTCGATTCGTACTTCAAACATTTCTTACATAAACGAACTGAACAACGGTATCCGATTATGAAAGACAGACTGTTCTATACGAAATTCTTCAGGGGGTTAAGTTCGTTCCTGTCGTGAACGAGTCCATTATCTAGATGACTGTCGTTAACTCATAAACCGGCTCCAAAAAAATACATTTTTTCATCTCTTCATGAAAACCGTCTGTAATGCTTAAAAGACTTATAGAGAATTTATTTGATCGTCACATCATCATTATGAAATCGCACATGCCTCTTCCAAGATCAAGCATACCGGCGTATGGCACTGCCTCCTTGTGCTCAATTATTTTAAGGGGCATTTAGGAAGGCCACAGTTCCAAGGTATTTGAGATCCTGCAATTCCAGATGCACCTTCCATTATTTTATGCCCTACAGACACTTCGAGCCCATCACGAACGATGTTTCAGGAGCCGGTAATCTTTATACGCTACCATATAAAAATCAAAGCATGTTCATGGTGTGTGTATGTCAAATAATGCTTGATTCCTCCAAGACCAGATCATCATTAATTACACAAGATTATTTCTTATGGACTGCTGGATGTTGGATGACGGCTCCTTCGAGGTTTTGTCACACATCTCTGTCCATGATGCTTCAAATTCTTTCTGAGTTTAACTTGATATCGATCTAACGGATTTTCAACGACCGATCGTCTCATGTTTCCTCAAACCCAGTTGTACGACTAGCCCATTGTCGTTTATCAACTTCCTCGATCATTCA